GTCTGTAAAGCTCTTGCCACAAGAGAATCTCCAATCCTTTTGTTACCTCTGTTATGCAACGCAAATCAGTTTCTTCCCTGTTTTTATTTTTCCCAGGGTAAGAAATGCTGACTGTGATGAGAAGGGCTATTTGCTGAGTTTTTCTAGGGCCAGTTCACAGAGGCTGCTGCTTTTTCTGGTCATGCGTTTTTTCCGTAAAGTTCATCTGGCTTCTGTTTTTAGTTTCCTCACTGTTTGGTTAAATGCTGTTCCTTCTTACTAGTTTTGCAGTCTTTTTGAAGAATAAGTTATTTCTACTATGCTTTTAGAAACAAAACCAAATTGTTTAAGACAGCCATTTTTTTTTTTATGGCTATTAGATTTTCTGGTCTTGCTTCATGCATAACACAGGCCATTAAATTTTGGCTGGTAAATCTCACATTAAGCTTACTAATTTGTGGATTGAAGTGCAGCTGTCGTGTATACACAACCCATCATAGTATAAAGAAGTTTTGTAATAAATGATTATAACAAGATCTTTCCATTACTGAGTGGGCTTAATGTGCCATGGGAAAATTCTGACATACTTCGATTTTATTTGGAGTTGCACTGGAGTTAGCTGAAGGTACAGCAAAGCCAAAGCAACAAGATGAGTTTTCTAACATGGAAGAACATCTCTTTCAATAGTTACTTATACATGTATTTATGCAGTTGAATTTGTTCTGTTGCGCTTGAATTTGTTCTCAAGATCAATTCTGGCCTTACAGTTTTATGGAGTTTGCCAGGAAGTTGACTCTTCCATTTGGGATTTTTTCCTATGATTTTTGTAACCTTTCTAGAATTTACAAGTTGTAGATGAAATAACCTGGTTACTAGGATGTTATGGCAGCAGCCATGTATTAATTTACTTAACCAAGCAGCTATTCTATATGTATTTCCACCCATACTGTGGTTCACTAAGTGCTAAAAATACCAGACAGCAAAAAACAGAACTTGTCATGGTGGCTTCTTGATGGCTCAGGTAGGCATGAAAAACTGTACTGGAGAGCACTTAACATAAAAAAAAAACAGTCTTATCTCATTTTTTTGTGAATGATTGTTTCTTTCTGAGCTTCAAACAGTCCTTCATTATTTCAGCAGCATGATTTCTAAAAAATTAAATGCCTCTAAATGAAGCATGTATGTGTGGAGTATATGTGTATGAATATGTATATTTATAAGTATACATAGGCTTTAAGTGAGTAAATAAAATAGTAAAATTAACTATGTTGCGCTACTACCCAAATATCCTATTTAGAGATGGTTCATCTTTGGGCTGCAGTGCACAAACAGAAAAATTTACTTCTTTTAGAAAGGCAAAACTTTGATGTTTATGTATGTTATGAAATCGTATGGATTTTTTTATACGTAAGCACAATATGACTAAAAGAAACACAGAACTCAATTGAAAAAATCATCTTACGTACATATTTGAAACCATCAACTCCAGAAAGTACAATCAGAGTACCAAGTTATCTTACATAAAGCTCTATTTGTATTGGCCTTAAGTAAGACAAGAAGCAGATTTTTTTTTGAAGCTTGGAAGAAATGTGGTCAACTCAGCCAATTCAATGGCTGCAAGTCACTGCATCAAACATAGATTATAAGACAAGTCCTTAGACATTTTCAGGGCTGTATTTTATCAGCATGTCTCCTAACAAAATAACACCACCAAAACTCACTCTTCTTGTCGTCATTAGCTTCCTTGAACAGGAGTGGCAATCATGGTTTGAACAGGGAGAAATGGAGTTCTCAAAGCCAGTTCTCTCTCAACCAGTATGGATCAATGTGGGACAGATTGAACTTCAGTGATCTATGTTGACTGAAGATTTCTCATTGGATTTTTTGAAAACTTTTACTTTGAGGCAGTGCTTGTAATCCCTCTGCATCACTATCTAGCTTCTCATGCTTCATCAGACTCTGCTTTCTCAAGCAGTTTTGATTACTAAGAAGTTCCAGCACACTTACAAGTGAGAACATTTACATCACTCCCAGGAGTCCAAACAAAGCTGAGTATTTGCTGAAAAGGAAATTTGTACTAAAAATAAGCGTGACATTCTTAAATCAGCCCTTTCTTGAAGTTCCGCTGAAGCAGTACAGCTCTTTCCACCATTGTAAGAATGACAAAAGTAGTGTTTGAATAATCACCTGTAAGTAAGAAGCTGCCTTTGAATGCAACGTGAGACCTACTGTGTATTACGGCAGTAGCACAGGCATTGATACAAATGTGTAGTCCATTTAAATCATTGACAGATCAAAGAGGAGATTTTGCATTTACTTTGTGTGAGTTCAAACAATTATGTTAGCACTGGAGCAATGGAGAATTACTTTTTTTCTCTCTCTTCGCGCTCTTTTCTTTCCCAAAAGCTACCCTTAAAAATGACAGAGAATTTCATATACTTTAAAACTTTCTAATCTAGTCTTTATTAAAAGGCAAAATGCCAATTCATTTGTCAGTTAATTTTTTTCAGGTAAAAGAAAAAACATCTAGCTAGGTAACTTGAACATAAAATGACAAAGTAAGCATGCTGGATGTTGTTCATTTTCCTGGAAGCTGTCTCCCATATATATTTATGCAGAGTGGTACACATCTGAATGAGAAGTAGGAAATGATGGTGCAGAATCCCATGGGAAAAGTTTTTCAACCTTTAAAGTAAAGTGGCAGCAATATGTCTGCAGTACCGTAATGCTTTCCTTGTAGCATACACACATTGTTAGATAGTAGTAGGTGGTGTACTGATAGGGAGTAAGGGAAAGCAGCTATTCTTATGCTCTAGAGCCTCACTGTGAGCCAAGTGGTTTTAATTGTCAGCCTGCAGACTGAATAAGGTTTAAGTGGAAGAATTGGATTGCTTGGTAAGTTGCTTCCCGTTAAACTGTTGCTTCTTATGCACATTTCAGAGAAGACTTCTGCATTGGATTGTGCCGATTTCGAGAAATAATTTTATTCTGTTTTGTGTATTAATATAAGGGACTTTGTTTTGTCACTTTGCATTTGTATTTACAGGGGCAAATTTTTAAAGTGGCCAGCTTGCATTTTGAAAAATTGTGTAGACAGAAAGGATGTAACCCTTTTAAACATGTGTCTTACTTCTAATCTAAACATTTTCAGGGAAACTGTGTTTCCAAATATTATATTTATGTCTTCTGCTTATTTCGACTTTGGATAGGCATTCCTAAGGGCCCCAAAGTTTGGTTTGCTGGGCATGGAAACAAGTAGGAAAAAAAAAAACAGTTCCTGCCCCAGAGGGATAACAGTCAAGAGAAAATGTAAGAGGTGATTAAAGAGACAAATAGAGGAAACAGATAACCAAAGTGTTTGCCGGCAGACATAGCTGTGTCAGTAATCATACACAGCTATCAGCCTGACTAGTGCTAGATGGAAATGCTTCTCTTGGGGCTTGTATGTACTATCTTCTAGTATGCATTTTCACATAAGGTATAACAGACAGACAGTGCCTGCTTTGTGTTGCTTTTATTCTTGCTATTTTTATCCTTTGCCACCCATCTGACACTTTGTTCAGCAAAGGTGTCAGTCATTGCCTTACATTATTTTTTTTTTTTTCTAATCTCATTGCAGCTCAGTCTCGAGTTATTTTGTTAATAGAAATAGAGAATCGGCCAAGTTTCTCATTTGTGTTTTTGAATAATAGTAGGCAAACACAGAGTATAATAAATCTTTAGTCCTTATGGACTGTATCGCCCTGCAACAGAGTCCCTATTGCAATCCAGTTTTAGGAGCTGCAGTTTTATTTGAAAGCAAGTATCTCATAAGGCAGATTAATTATTGGGACATTTTTCGATTGGGTAAAAGACGAGGAATCAGCTGTGACTGTGAAATTGCAAATGAAAATGCAACACTCAAGACTTGTTAATGCTTTTTTTGGCATCGAAAAAAGAGACTTAGGTATCTAATATTAAATGGTGTTGCAGAAGGGCAAGTTAGCACTTTGTTTGCCAAATTAAGTTTCAAAGACTATGTAGGTGGTGAAGTTTGACTTTCTGCCTGTAAATCTTGAATTACTGACAGACTACTGTAAAATAGCTTTGTTCAAAAGGAATCTTTGGCAGGTGGCATCAAAGGTTTGAAACTCTGGAAGGGATGAAAAGAAAACCCCACTTTTACACTAGTTTCCCCTGCAGATCAATGTCTGTGTGAAATTTGCCTGGGAATTATGAGCTATTTACTGTATTATGTGCTGTTTTCTTTCATGGTATCCAAAGGCCCCTGTGGTTCCTTTTATCTTCAAGATTTAGGGATATTTTTTTCCATGAAATGTGAACAAGTGAATGAGTCAGTGGAATATCAGGGAAAAAAAGCTCATTTTAGACAATTCTGTTCTGCCTTATTTTATCACAAGTTGGACTATTGGTTTTATGGCACCTAAATTTATGGGTACATATTTTTTATGGTAAAGCCCAATGACATGTTCTGCATGCTCCATCAAGCTCTCTCCATGTTTCTTCCTTTGATTCACAACTCTGCAGGGTATGAATTAGTCCCCTAGTATAACCCTTAATTCCTTTTTAGCCAGAATAATGTAGTGTGGGGGGTTTTTGGTTTGGTTTGGTTTGTTTTGCTCTACTTACGGCATGTGTCATTGTGTCATCATCTAATTATGTGTTACAAAGAAGGGGAAAACAAAATATTTCCCAAGAAACCCTTGCCAGCTGTTGATCAGTGCAGGAGACTTAAGTTTCTTGATTGCATATAAGCAGCTGAGGCATAAAATATTTTGTAACTCAGTGATACTCAAGTCTGTAATCTAGCAAGCTGTGGCACTGCTGGAGCATGGGCTAAAGGGAAACTGACCATGCAGGGCAGTTTATGCTTAGATACACAATAGACCTCCTCAGGTATGGTGAGACGCGTGAGGAGAAGGAAAGCTCCTTCTGCCTTCCAGTGACTCTTAGATTTCTTGTATGCAGTGGTTAAAATGACGTTGACAGAAGGTGCTTAAGCCCTTGTTTGTCTTCCACAGGGTGAAGTGAAGAAGTGAAGCCTCCCAGCTGAACTACTATGAGGTCAGAAGCCTTGCTGCTATATTTCACACTGCTACACTTTGCTGGGGCTGGTTTCCCAGAAGATTCTGAGCCAATCAGTATTTCGCATGGCAACTGTAAGTATAAGAGGCCAGAGGAATTACTTTACTTAATACTAATCAAGGTTCTTCAAATCAACTGTATATTGTTACAGTTGCAATGAATAAATTTTTTTCTTTATTTCTTCCAGATCGACCAATTTACATTCTTAGATACTAATATAGCAATACAAATTTTTCACATTGATTTATGACTACTGGGTGATAAACTGCTCAATCTTCTGAAACTGTAGCCTTTTTCCTTCTCAGAGAAACTTCAGTAGCATACTCAAGCCAAATATCTTGCTCTATCCAGCAGCAAAGTAAGGACGCCTTTTCCTACCCACTCCCAATAATCCAAGTGTCCCTCAGCTGACTTGTGAAAATGCAGTTCTGGATAACTAGTGAAGCAACTGAGAGTATCAAGCATAGCACACTAAAGTAACTGAGCTCTGAAATCATAATTTGTTGATCTAATGCAAATAACAGAACTTACTTCTTTAAGCTCTGATGAATTCCACTTTAGCATTAGGCATTTTTTTGCCAAGCTGGAAATGTAGCTAAAAACCAAATCAAGACAAAGGATCTTTTGTAACAGAATCTCTCTCTTTACTGCCAGCAATAATTGGCAAACCCTTCAAAATCTAGTGTAACGAAGACAGCTGCAAGTCAGTATTGAGATTTGCTGCCTAAACAGGCGAAGAGCTTTCTGTGCATTTCACCATGCAAGTCAGGCTTAGCATAACTGATGCTTTCACATTTACTTCAACTCAATTACAATTACTGCAAAGAAAAGTCTTCTGAAGTCCCAAAGGTTCAAATGTTTAAAAGGAAGTCTTTAGCACCTGAGTCTGCAAAATTGTGCTAGGGAGCATTGAGTCAGCAACAAGTGGACTTAAGTTTAGTCCTACTTTAGGTCAGAAATTTGGATTTAAAGTGAATCTCTTGATAGCCATTGATTACTGTGCTTTTGGGTGGCCTTGGCACCTGTAAGTTTTTTTGTCTTTGTGTAAGACCAAGCAGAAAGACAGACTCCAGGGGCTCACTTGATGTAGTGCAAATGTTAATAGGTGTCTGGGATACCAAAACAGGGCAGAACTGCTCTCAAACAAATCCCATTGAAATATGTCTAGTGTCAGCACTGGGTCTTCAGCACCAACATTTTCATCCTCCAGAAAAGTGATGCTAATGGTTCTTGCTAACATAGGAACAGCCAGTCCTGATCCTTTTGGAGAAACAGGACATGGGATTTCTTTCTCTGTGGCATGATGTGCTGAAATGCACATTAATGTACAAACTCCCAGTTCATGCTAGATCTGTGGTTTGCAGATTAAATAGTAGTGGACAGAGCTTGACAGTTGAACTTGGCATTTTGCATGCAGGACTTGATCAGAAGGATTAAACTTCTGAATATACATCCTGCCTGGGCTATCTTAATTTTTTTTTTCTCTAGGAGTTCACATCATCTGATTTGCAGGGAAATTTCTGTTTCTATACAGTATTATCTTCAGGCTTTCTGAAAATAGTTTTAGAGGACAATAACTGAAAACACTACAGCAGTATCTGATTTTCTGAAGGAATAGACTCTTCTCAAAGAGCTCCAGGCCTCTGGGGAGGCACATTGATGGGACAAAGACTCAGGCATCAGCTCTGTATAGCATGCACGTGCAGCAGTTCCACATTGATGATGATGCTCATCAGAGGTTTATCGTCCTCATGTCTTCTAACTGTTGTTTTGTTTACTTAATTACATCCCTGATTTATGCAACAAGATGTCATGATCACATATAGATATGAAGTCTAGCAGCAAGGTGGCCCTTGGTCATAAGTGTTCACTGTTGGTTTAAGTTGTACATACAGATCATCTGGGAAGCAGCAGCACACCCCCCATGTATGCTGAGGTCTCATGGAAAAAATTGTAGGAATGCAGTGAATAAATGCGCTTACTAACTGGTAGAGTGGGGGGGAAAGCTGGCCTGTTGATAGTATAAGCTCAGTCAGTACAATTGTCCAGGTGCCAGAAGAACTGGAGTATCAGACTGGTTGCCAAAATGATATGGCAGTGACTTTCATTTTATGAAGTTCAAGTGGTGGTTTCCTACTGTTTCTCAGAAATCGCCACAGCTGTTCTATGATGGCAGTCCAATCCTGTAGAAAACCCAGGGAGCTGGCATTTTGAACCAAAGGCAGCCAAATCTTTTGCTTTAACCACTACAAGTCCAGTCATTGTGGTGATTGATGGGCCACTGTGAAACAGCTTTGTCCTGCTAGACACACTTTGGCAGCCAGGAGCAAGCATTTAAGCTCTGTAAGCAGTGAAAGAAAAACTGTGAGAAAGTACCATGTAGCTTTGTGCCAAGAGCTCCAGAACAGCTTTATGTTTGAAAAAACATCACAATTTTTGTCTTCTACAAAGGTGATGCCTTTTTCCTTTGCAGCTGCAAAGACTGTAACTTTGAAGAACTCTCCAGACCTCTGTGCTCATGTCTTCCAAATGCAGACTGTGGTGCCAGGGCAGAACAGAAATCACAGGTTTTGGCCATAGCTGGGCACCACAATGATCCGTGTTAGCATGGTTTCAGTTTGTGATTCTCTTTGACCCTGGGTTGCTGTTTTTTTTTTTCCCCTTCCCACAGATACAAGACAGTATCGAGTGTTTGTGGGTCACAAACCAGGGCGGAACACCACGCAAAGGCACCGGCTCGACATCCAGCTGGTCATGGTCATGAACAGGACCCTCTACGTTGCTGCTAGGTCAGTAGTGCCCTTCTTGGCTGCTCCTTGCTGGCTGATTTCAGAGAACAAAGGAGAAGATGGGGGATATTCTGAGTTCTTCTCTGCTGGACATGTTAATTTTAGGTTTTTCCCACACTCCGACCTTTGCAGCCTATATTAGTAAAACGTACTGGAAATTTTGTTAGTCAGTCAGCTACACTTCAGTTTTGTGAGGTGCTGAGACAGGCCTTTTATGAGAACAATCCTCTACCTTTCTTTGAGTCTGGCAAGAGGGAAGTTGCCAGAGAAATTGTTCAGCCTGGTGGAGCAGAAAGCCTGTCCTCATCCTGTAATGCTTGTGCATGCCATTAATGACATGTTTTAGAGAATGTTTCTGCTGATGCATAAATACATATTGAGATAAGAGTTACTAAACTGTAATGTTGCTGGTTTAGATATGTTTTTCATACCTTAAGACAAAAAAGAGGCAAACATGTTTTCTGCTGTTGTTTTGATGTACTCAGTAAGGTTAATTGAATTTGGTGTCTGGATTTTTTTTTGAGAGCTATACTGTGCAGATACACGCATGTGCTTTTTTATAAGTATTGCAGATATATAGCCACCCTTTCATTTTGCATAGGCTCAGCATCAGCTTCAGTGGAGCTACACCAATTTATACAGCTGCCAGTCCAGCACAGATCAGACATTTAACACTTCTTTTCCCTCCCTGTTTTTAGCGAAGGTTGACTATCTTAGAGTGGAAGTTACCTGATGGACACAAGAAAAATGCAAGAAGGGTCGACATTAGCAAGAGTGGCTAATCCAGTTTACGAGTTCTTGGACACAGATCCTGTTTGGGATCTCCATGCAAGCTAAGCTGCCCCTTAAGTAGCAGCTTGTTTCCTGCTGGTGTTCTGGTACTTCTCCTCCATTGGAGAAATATGCACCCTTCTGCGTGTGCCACAGAGAGCCAGGCTGTTGCTGCAGATGGGAGAAGTGGTGGGTGTGATGACCAGGAGCTGAGAGGGAACAGCTGCTGAACAGGCAGCCTCTCACCACAAGCTATGTCCTCAAAGCCTTGGCAGGCTCTGGGAGCTGCCTGGCTTCCATCTCAAATAGCTACTCCCCATCTTCTGGGTGGTCAGATGTGTCCTGCAGTGATCTGCCTGTTGATCTCCACTTGGCACCCCGTAACTAGTTGGGTTACACCAGCAGAGACACCTAGTGCCATTTTTACATAGCCATGTCCCTGACTGCAGAAAACTGTGGTTCTACTTGTTGTCCTGCACAGGCAGCCTTACCAGCTAAGAGCAGCTTCTTCGGACTTCTCACATGCGCCAATTTGTGTGGGATCTGGGCAGCAAAGCTCTAGGCTCTCACTCGTGCCAAGTCCTTGTCTCAAGGATGGGCACAGAGTATGTGTCCTTCCACAGGGAGCTGGGATGGCCTTGGCCATAAGGCACAAGGAGCAAGCAGCCCCACAGCAAGGCCTCTCCGCACTCTGCCTGAGCTTGGACCTGAGTATTTTTGCTGCATTTAGTGTGATAATGAGTTGGGTGGGAGGAGAGGGCTGAAGGGGTTTGAAAGGTGGTGGCAGGATTTCCTCCTTTTCATGGCTGAGTTCCCTTTGCTTTGCTTATTTATTTTCCTTTAAATTAGGAAATCATTTGCACTGAGAAGGTGGTAAATCCGCTTTGTGGATTTTGCTCTGCTGTATTCATAGTTTGTTCCCAGACTGAGATTGACGCAATTAGAATGTGGCAGTGCCCAAGCAACCGGCATTACAGCAGGAAAACCCAGGGAAGCATTTGGGATGTAAAATCACCATGTGCACAAATTACATAAAAAATATTAATATTTGGGAGATAGTATGTGTACTGGCATAAGAATATGTAGTCTTATATAACATATGGCTTTTTATTTGTATTTAAGATGTTTTTTATGAGGGTGTTTATATGCTTCTAGGGTCTAGTGACCTACAAAAAAGAGTAAGACCTGGTCTGTTTTGTACTTCCACATGCCAAAAAAAAATTCTTACGCTTTTTTCCTATGGTAACTCAAAAACTCTTTGACGTATTCTTCTCCTCCTCCACATTTTACTGAGTAAAATCCCTTCTGGGCTGAGAAGCCTATGTGATACAAGTTAAAATTCAAAGGTGATTTTTATCTTTAAGTAATAAAGTTCAGAAAATGAGTCATCCTTTGATAACTCTTGTGAATGAAAGTTTATAACTGCAATACCTCATCTCCTTTAGAAGGTGTAGTAAATCTAGAGATTGAAGCAAATGTGTACACAACCAAAGGTGTTTCTTGAAGAGTTTTGTAACTAGATTAGTTGAAAACTGTAGCTAACATAAATCCTTAGTTATCATATCAGATGTTGCTTTCAGGCTGTTTTTTTTAGACATTGTAGTATAGTGATGCTGAGTTGGCATTAGTACCCAATTATCTGAAAGGCAAACAAAACAAATAATTAAGCATTGAGAGTTTTTATTTTGGGGTCACTGGGGTTTTTTTGTTTGCTTGTTTTAGAAAATCCAGCATTTACTTTGCACACAGTTTCCTTGCTCAAGAAAGGACTAACTTAAATTTGAGAACTGCCAACACTTTATTACTAGGTAATTGGCAAAGAACAAAATTTCTGTCAGTGGCTTGTTTTGTCATACGAGATACACAACCTTTGTATTAGCTATTGCCAAATAAACTTAAGTGTCATAAAGGCATTATTGCATATAATTAGGAAGCCAGTATAAATGAGAATAACTCAGCCAAAGTCCTTGAAGCTGTGCTGTCAGAATATCTGGCTTCCAGTCTGCAGAGGACTCTTTTCTTTTTTCTCGTGGGAAGGGTACTCCCGGGCTGTCTTTCTCACACTTGCCCACACCCTCACACACACCCCCTTTTCTAAGTTTGCTATGTCTCCTCCTCCCATTGTCTTGTGCGGTGGCAGCTTTTGTTCACATTGTCTGTCACCCCTCGTGTATGTGCAAAATTGTTTATTGAGCTCGGGATGCATCGGGATGGCTCCCTCCTCATTTGCAGTTACACATTTCCAGACAATGCACTGACTGGCCAAGGGTCATGCACAGCCGGTGGCATTATTTAAATTCCCTTCCTCCACAAGATTATGCCATGGCAACAAAACTTGGTTCTGCTGACTGGAGGTGGGAAAAACGGAAGCTCTAGGATTAAGTCAATTTGTGTTAGAATAACTTAATTAGCAGTGAGCTGTACACATACCACAGCTAGTAGGTATTAGGAGTTGGGTAGCAGTGGGAAATGGAGAGCAAGGACAATCCTTCATTGTCTGTGGTAAGAGAGCCCTCCCCTGAATTTGACAGCTCTTTCGCTCTTTGCTGACATTGTCAGCAACTACAGTTCACATACAGCGTGAGAAAATTATATGTAATTTGCCTGATACCCTCTTTCAGATGATCCCATAACTTAGCATCTGAATTTTCTTTGAACAGTTTCTTGAGTCAGAAAGCAAGTCCACTGAAAGCTGGGGAACTAAATAACTCAAGCCTCATTCTGAATACCACCACTATATTTTCTAATTGTTTTGGAAAGTAAGGCTGATTTCTGAAATCAGGTGCTGTTCTGGAAGAAGGTTTTAGAGCTCCAGCCGTACCTAATTTGCAATTCAAGATATTTTGCTCCCTCTTCTATATACTAGGAGTGACAGCAACAAGTTGTGATGGGAACTGTGGAGTGATCTATGAAGCTGACATTACCTAATAGGTAGTTTTAGTCCAGCACCAATCCTGACCACTGCTCTGTCAGTAAAGTCAGGCAAATAATAAACTGAAGCGTTAAACCAATCTGGGACATAAATGACAACTCTGGTTTTGCAGGATCTGGAGGAGAAGAAAACTTGCAACTCCTCAGTTTGGCATCGTACAAAACAAACAGCCCCAAGCACCATAGCAGATTGTAGATTTTTAAAAGCCAGTTCCCCATAACAATGCTGCCTCTTTTCTCCACGTAGGAAGAGTACTGCTTATTCCTCTTCTAGCAGTGTTTTGTGTTTGCTTTATTTAACAGACTAACACTGTTTCCCCAAAACCTAGTAAAATAAAGCTAACCTTGAGAGCAGGGATTTCTGAAATGGAAACAGTCTGTATCCTACTTTCAACAGACCCCTCCAATGCTGTGGATCATGCTCCAGCTGCACAACTTCTTGTATTTTGAAAAAAGCCAATGTTATTTCAAGGAAAAATGAGATGCTCAGTCCCAATTTGATGTGGTCATTGTTACCGGGTTGTAGGTTGGTGGGATTCTTCGTATTTTAGGGTCTGCACAGAGATGTCATTGTTCTCAGCTTACACAGAGGAGAATATTTTAAAATATCTCTTTATCTGAGTAGCTGAGTCTGTTTCCTCTTTCCAAGGAGAGATTGGCAGGTAATTGAAGAGAGAGACAGATTCACAGGAAAATAAGAAAGTAAATGCAAGCAAGAAATAGGAACTTTTTCCAGAGGAGTATGTAACAGTTTAGGTTGGCCTTCAGTGTATGAAGAGAAGAATGATTTCTGGAAATAATTTTGTGGCTCTCAACTTTTTGCCTACCATATTGCCCACCAAATTATCACAGCAGAGGTTAGACTTAAAATTAATAAGTAAACAAATTAAAGAAGCATTAGCCTCTTTTTAACCCTGAATGGCTAAATGTGGCACAGTGACTACTAGCCCAGGAATCTGATAAAGGCTGCCTCAGAACTATTACATCTGATTTCAGAATGTACAGAAATATCTGCATGCTACATCATGACATCTGCTGTAGGATATATAGAGCAGAAATTGTATTAAACTCACCTCTTTCCCAAAGTCTCATTTGTTCAAATAATTGATTTTGGGAAAGAATCTTGCCTTGGAGTTCTGTAGCTTTTTTTTAATTATTATTAAAGGGAAGAAAGATAGTTTATGTATGAAAGTGCTTTTCTGGGAAGAGCAGATGATGCTGTGAGTAATGTTCCCTTGTAAGACCTGTGATCTTGTTTTTTGAATGGATTTATGGATTATCTTGTGATAGCTAGCTCTCTTCATACAAAATGAACTGTCTGACTGCTCCATTTGACGTTGCATGCATTTGCTTTTGTTTACAGGGACCATATTTATACTGTTGATATGGACACATCACATACAGAAGAAATTTATTTTAGCAAAGTAAGTAGCTTTTATCATCATCCAAAAACTAAGGACACTAGAACATGCTTCAAATAAATAGGAAGATGACATTGTTTCAAGCAATTTGCCAGCACTGCTGTGAGAACTGTAATAAGCAAGTAAGATGGCATTACTAATAAAATTTTGGGAAGGCTTGAATAGCAATCATGTCCTCTGTGAATTTCTGATATGTGATTTAGCTGGGCTGATAAGCAATCTCTACTGAAATACAGTGAGGTCCCTGATGAAACATCTGTCAAACATCTATTAATTTATATTCAGTGGTTTTCTGTAACAACTATACTATCCCAATTAAGTATGCTGAAACTTTCATCATAAAAAGCAAGTGCTATTTACATATTTTTATGCACACAGATTTTATTCACTCATGCAAGTACTCACTAAATAAAATCTTACTGTAGCATTGCTTTGTAAATGTATTCACATTATCTCTTTGGGAAGTTATATTCAAACTAAGAAGGGCTTTGTCTGCATTACCATATTGTATATTAACATAAATATACTAGAAATAATCTCCCCTCAGCTCCTTTGCATTGCATACACATTGTGTGATATGTGCCAAACAGAGCCTTGGTGCAACAGAAGGTCGTATGAATTTGGGCATTGGATTAATTCCACCGTAGGAGTGAAGAGTGTTTAATTATAACTATGAACGATGCTGAAGATGAGTTTATGACCAATAACTTATGAAGAAGTGAGGGCACAGGCTTCTAACTGAAATGAACATTCATGGTTAGTCTTTCAGCTTGGCGCCCTTCATGAGTGCAGTGCCTCCATTACTGATGGAAAACACTGTCAGGACTGTTGTGGCTAGAGTGTCAAAGGTGTTACTATTTTAGGCCATATGTTTTTAAATAAAGTTTTATTTTAATTAATCATCTTATCACACTTGAGCACTCCTGAAAATCACTGCAAAAGAAATCAAGGCTGGGGTTTATCTGGAAATACTCTGAAGACTATTAGCAGAGATAATGTCAGTGATGTCTTGATCAGTGGAGGTCTCTCTGAGCCTGCTAGCTGACTTGAAGTGATAAGAATTACCTGAATTTTATTTCTTTCCTAGTCTCAAATATTGTTTTCCATAATACATATTTTGTGTAGAATCTAGTTAGGGTTTATAGTCCGTAAATGTTTATTCTGATTAGCAGAACAATATCAAAGTAGAAGAGCATCTAGTACTTTTAAGAAAAGTGCACATATATTTAAAAGTTAGCCTATTGCTGAATTCCGTTGGTTTAAGCTTTAAAAAAATGGGATAGGCTTCTGGTCTAATGAATAGATGGCAACACAAAATTAAATGAATGTTCCACATCACTGATCTTTCATTGTTGTGGTGAATTAATCATGGAGAAAGGGTGCAGAAAGCTTTCAATAAATAAATGTTCAAGAGCTAGTCTCCCCTAAGGGACTTCTGAAATCAAGTGCAACAACTCTTGAGTCTTAATTGATTTCTTCCTTGATCCTTGCAGAAATTGACATGGAAATCTAGACAAGCTGATGTAGACACATGCAGAATGAAGGGAAAACATAAGGTAGGCAATTTTCATCTCTTCTGCATCTGCCACTATAGTTTAGTTGCTTCACTATTATCTTGAGCTGCTGTCTGTGATGTGGAATGGATCATGCCATTCGCTTCTTGCCAGTAATTGCTATTTCCATCAACGTACTCAAGGCTTTAATTTGCAAAAATAGTTTATTTTTAATGTGATAAAAAATTACAACAGGAACTACAGCAAAATCCTGTAACACCTAAAGCACTGAGGATTTTGGACATAATGCTTAGTGTATTGATTTTGCTTACCTCTGCTTTCAAAACCTAAGCACTGCTGTCCGTCCTCCTGCAGGAATTTACTGAGAAGTTTGTGTAAAACATAAGAAAGTATGAATGTGTACAGTTGTAGAAGGACTGTTTCACACTCCAATTTTACCCTAATATAACCTATGACTAGCACAAGTGGTACCAGAATTAGATGCATTAATTTACACCTGCTTCGCTCTCTACTTAGAGATGCTTTATACCAAAATATTACTTTGCTCATGCTGCTGTCTTGCAGCAATGTACATGAGAAGATCTTTCCCTCTTGAGGAAAGCAGTAGCATTCAAGCAAAATTCAGCTATGTGAACAATAGCAAAACCTGAACTAAAATATGAATATGCTATCTTCAGTTCTTTGTAACTATTTTTAAACCAATAGAAAATAAATCAATTGCATCTTGCTCATGGTCAGTTAAGCGTAGTTGAAATAAAGCCCAGAATATCACAGTGGCTACCAGCCAATTTCATTTTAGACCTGACAGTGAAGTATCATGACATAAAAATAAAACCAGACACCCAAAATGCAGTAGCTGATATTCTTTTTATTATTTTTCTTCAGGATGAATGTCATAATTTTATTAAGGTTCTCCTAAAAAGAAACGAGGATACATTGTTTATCTGTGGAACAAATGCATTCAACCCTTCTTGCAGGAACTACAAGGTATGTGATTTGTTTGTGGGATTTAATTTGTGCCTTGTCTTTCTATTGGATTGATTGTGACTATGCTGGCAACAGCATGAGATCGTCATTCAACAGTGCATCATTTAACTCTGCAGCATTAATCCTGACTTGTTTCAGTGCTACAGAGTTCAATGTTAATTGGATTTCTGAGGATTGCTCAAATTGATTACCTACTTCTTTGCAACTCCTGCGTATCACAGTTTATTGCCAATCTGTATTACCCTCCATATGTACAGAGTCCTTTAGACCCCTACCTGGGTATGTATTCACTCCTCAGGAAGCTCCTCAGCTCGTCCCTGACACCCACATAAAGTCGCAGACTGATCACAGAATCACAGAATCTTACAGGTTGGAAGGGACCTCAGAAGATCATCTAGTCCAAGCCCCCTGCAAGAGCAGGGTCACCCAGAGCACATCACACAGGAGCGTGTCCAGGCGGATTTTGAATGTCTCCAGTGAAGGAGACTCCACAACCTCTCTGGGCAGCCTGTTGCAGTGCTCTGTCACTCTCACAGTAAAGAAGTTTTTTCTGATATTTACATGGAACCTCCTATGTTCCAGTTTGCACCCATTGCTCCTTGTCCTATCACTGGACATCACTGAAAAAAGCCTGGCTCAGTCCTCCTGACACTCCCCCTTAGCATATTTGTAAACATTGATGAGGTCACCCCTCAGTCTCCTTTTCTCCAAGCCAAAGAGACCCAGCTCCCTCAGGCTTTCCTCATAAGGGAGATGTTCCACTCCCTTCATCATCTTTGTGGCTCTGCGCTGGACTCTTTCAAGCAGTTCCCTGTCCTTCTTGAACTGTGGGGCCCAGAACTGGACACAATATTCCAGATGTGGCCTCACCAAGGCAGAGTAGAGGGGGAGGAGAACCTCTCTTGACCTATTAACCATACCCTTTCTAATACACCCCAGGATGCCATTGGCCTTCTTGGCTACAAGGGCACATTGCTGGCTCATGGTCATCCTCCTGTCCACCAGGACCCCCCGATCCCTTTCACCTACACTGCCCTCTAGCAGCTCAGCCCCCAACCTGTACTGGTACATGGGGTTTTTGAGGTACTGGGGTAGCATGTTTTAAATGTCTGTGTTCTCAATCCCAAAGCCAGTCCTCAAGGCACTTAACAGCTTAGCACAGCAAAACCTGGGAAGATTAGTGTTGGGTCCCAGCAGATGTGGAAACTGTGGAGACCCTATGGCATTCTGTGCTGTAAAAGTGATTGACAGCAGATCTCCTCAGCAGAAGGTACAACAGGAGGGTGATGTATTCTTTACTTGCTGGGGATCTGCAAAGCCAAAGCATTATCTAGAACAGTATAGAAAACTGTGCTGGTCCATGAATACTCAACATTAATTCCTCGACCTCAATTTCTTCTTTTGACATAGTAGGTCCTCATGATCTGCGTTTTAACAGAGCCCATTTATTCAGATATTTCTCGTTTTCTCAGTCTTGCACTGGTATAGTCTGATATAACCCCAACAGTGGATGTCTCTGGAGTAGCTTTGAAATGTATTCACTTAGGCCTTTGTTATTCAGACTCTGCTTTTCCAGGCACTGGTATGTCCCAGAGGTCATTTCTCCTTCTTTAGCAAAAGAATCTCAGCTTTGCTAATGCTGCATCTGATAAAGTCACAATTTTCCTTCATTTCATTTGGCTTAGAGTTATTGTAAAAAACAGAGTAAAGACATTAACATACAGAAAAACTACTTCCTTAGTGGTATTTGCTATGAGTGCTGCTCTTCCTTGCTTTTTCTGCCATGCTGTCCTACCTTGTTTAGCCACTGTGATGCCTGTAGTCTAGGAAACACAGGAGAGAAGTTCAGCACTGCTTCTTCACTCAGTCTGTGGAGGAAGAATAAAATTTTAATAAAAATACAAGCCTGCTGTACCACACATAGCTGTGTGGTACAGATAGTTGCTCTGTTTCTTCTTTTCTTCCTTTCCTTGCTTTCCACTTCTACCATGCAACAAAGCTTCTCTGTCTAAGTGCTGTGTTTAGTCTTCCAGCAGAATTTGTAATTTTTTTAGTTCTCGGTTCCATCAATGCAGCTAAGAAATCTCAGCCAGTCTCCCTGCTAGAAATCTGTCTTTCAATAAAAATACAGATTTCCTTGGCATTGTGATCTGAGGGATATAAATGGCCCTCCTTACCCTCACTGTAGGTGTTTCATTCCCTGTGATGCATGACCTCTACAGGCTGCCTTACCTGTTGCTAAACTGCAGGGGTGGGATTGTGATACCTCTGAGAGTCAGCACAAGGTCTTTCCAACACCTGACCTCTCTTTTCCTCCATGTATTTCTGCATTTTATAGAGAGAGCAGTAAAGATGTGCCAAACAGAAAAGAGTGCTGTCCCTCCACAGGTAGTGTGGATGAGCCTGGGGTGTGAGGCTTGGGGCAGGGAGTTACTTGGGACGGTAATTTGTTTCCTCTCACTATCACAGCTAATTGCCTTCAGGGTGGATTTTAACAGGAAGAATACATGACACAAAACAAATGATGACAAATTGTCTGCTGAAGGACTTGGGTGCTGTAACATACGAGCTAGAAGTTGATTAGAGAAGTTGATGGTGCTGGGTGGGTTATTTTTCTGTACTGTTTGTGATTTATACAGTATGACCTGCTTAAGTTACTTGGATATGCTAGAAAGACTCTTATTCCCCAAACATGGTAGTATAAGAATCTTAAAGAGTTAAGAGATGTACCTTTCCCCTGTAGCTCACTAAACCCTCTTGAACTTAGAACAGAGTTGATCCATATACTTGTATCATTATCGATGCCCGGGGTGAAACGATTTCCCAGAAGTTACACTTAAGCCTCAGATTTTACAATTCCTGCACAGATTAATTCTTGCCTGATGGTAAGAGGATTTCTCCATGATACAGACTCAACTGATACAGTAAGACTTGAAGTGCATCCTTCTGAGTATGCAAATCAAGGAAGAGAGCACCACTGTTGAGACTAGAGCAGAAGGATCTCCGGACTTTGGGGAGAAAAATGCACACGCAGATAATTATTGTACTGTTGTTTCTGACTGCTGTGGCTTGCAGTCTTTTCTGTGTATAAGAGTGCTTCTGTTGGATCACTGTCGAGGATAAATTTTGAATCCCTGCCAGACCCACAGACCACATAGCCTGCTATGGTTCAACAGGAAGCTTGTGTACAGCTAAAATATAGACTGAAGACTCTTGTAAAATGTGTCAGGGGAAGAGTGATTAGCTGCAAAAGAATGCAGACTTATTGAAAGCACTTTCTTCAGGCTGATTTTATTTAGCACTGTGATTTTTTTTTTCAGGTTTTTAGTATAGTCAGGAGTACAGATAGAGAAAAGATACTCCTCTCTGCCCAGAAAAGAAGAAACACTGTCATAAGCCTCATCCTGGGTAAAGAGTTTTCTTTCTCTTATCTCAGGAGTTCCCTTTCATTTTTCAGATGGATACCCTGGAGTTCCTGGGGGATGAATTCAGTGGAATGGCCAGGTGCCCCTATGATGCAAAGCATGCCAACGTTGCATTGTTTGCAGGTAAAATGATGGAATTCTTGTTTTCTGTCCTGCAGCCCAGGCTTTGCCATAGTACTGTGTTTCTTGAGTCCAGAATGCCAAAATCTAAAAAGGTGGCAAAGGGAGTGAATAGTGACTAAAAATAGGGGGCATAAAGAAATCACTAGCACCAAAACCTTCTCATCTCTGGGATTAACTTTACTACCATAAACATTGACTGAAGCCTCAGTTTCCTGGTTCAATATTTCAGTATTTCCTGAATTCATTAAATATGATGCCAGGCCAGTCTGAGGCACCACTTCTGCCTATATCCTGTTTCTGTGAAAGACAAGGAAAGTCAAGGCTTGTGTGAACTTTCATGAGAAGTGGGCAGGATGTGCTCTTAAGCAACTCCACTCTTAAGTTAACCTTCATAATAAAAAGGAAGTGAGAGAACATGCTGTGATGTCCCCTTCTCTAGATCTACAAGGAAGGGAAAGGCAATGTTATTTTGAAGCAGAAAACATCTCAATATGGTGTTACCAGCTGTTGTAGACAAAGGAGAGGAGAATGTTGGTTAATGACAATTTGTGCTGTGTGCAGCAGAATACAGTTAATTTTAATTTCTACTACAGAAGTTTTAAAAGTGAGTACCTAATAGTAGGGTTAACTTGGGCTTTTGATTTTGAAATTATATTTTTATACCTCTCTTCATAAATTCCTGATTAAATTGTTTCTTTGTTAAACTTCTAGTATGAACCCTGCTGATATTTTCTTAGATTTGGCTGTAAAATAGATAGTAAAGATAATATAAAAGTTGCCCATGATTATGTCAGTCCTCTTCAGCAGGTGTTGTGCTAGAAAGCAGAGCCTAGGTGCTCACATGGAAATGCTTTAGCTATTCCTCTGAAGATTTAACAGTATGCAAGTGTTCCAGACACTCTCAACTAAGTCTGTGGCCGAAGGGCTGTATTAAGCACTACTCTATTTGACGTGGCATCGTCTGCCTTACAAAGGACAGTTTTTACAGCAGGTCGCAATTTTTTTGTTTTTTTACTCTCTATAATGTAAATAATTGGGTCCTTTAATTTAAAAAATAGTAGTGGTAATTATTGTGGTAGAATGCAATTTCTTAATTATAATAAAAAGCACATGAAACACAAATTCTCTGATTGTAGCAGGTAATTCATAAGCCACAGAAGGAGAGAAACACCTTTAGAGAAAGGTTTATGCCATGTGTCTCAGATTTCCTGTCCTTAGGGTAGCCTGAATCACCTTTTCACCTTACAGTGAAAAAGGGCCTTTTTCACTGTACTGGCCAAGAAAGCATTTTTGACCAACTTAATGTAAACATTTACTTTGCACACAGCTGAAGTTCAGTAAGGTGATTCTCACTCTGTCACTGAGGAACTCCTCACATTATTTGAAAATAAAAAGGATATTTATAAAAATCTTTCTACTCTTCCCTGATAATTCAAAATAAATTTGATACTGTTCAATAAATTTGTGTAGAAGATACCCTGTAAATCTGCTGGCTTCAGATAATCACTGTTTTATATGTCATACATATTAGTACCTATGATAACTTTTCAGAGTGCTGTGAAAAGCAGTTTCAGAGCAATTTAGGGCACTAATCCAGCTCATCAGATTCTGTTTGGTGTTACTTACATTAATATGACTCTTCTTGCAGCCTGTAACTATTACAGCCGGTATATGCAGTTCGTAAGCGATCACATGATCCTCAGGAATTTGGCAGGAAAGAAAATAAATGTCTGATTGTATTAACATGAGTTCAGACATCCATATCTAAACAATTCAGCTTTTTATTCTATTTTAAAATTGTTTTAGTATCTGCTTGTTTTGTAATGATTTTTTTCTGGTTTTGCTAAGAAAAAAAGACCATTTTTCAATAGCAAAATAATTATGGGAATTGCAAAGCTCAATACAAAGAATTACAGTCCTGCTGAGAAAAAACCAGCAGCCTGATTTTTACATCTTGAGCTGAAATGAAATGTCTGTTGTTTTATATGTCATACATATTAGTACCTATGATAACTTTTCAGAGTGCTGTGAAAAGCAGTTTCAGAGCAATTTAGGGCACTAATCCAGCTCATCAGATTCTGTTTGGTGTTACTTACATTAATATGACTCTTCTTGCAGCCTGTAACTATTACAGCCGGTATATGCAGTTCGTAAGCGATCACATGATCCTCAGGAATTTGGCAGGAAAGAAAATAAATGTCTGATTGTATTAACATGAGTTCAGACATCCATATCTAAACAATTCAGCTTTTTATTCTATTTTAAAATTGTTTTAGTATCTGCTTGTTTTGTAATGATTTTTTTCTGGTTTTGCTAAGAAAAAAAGACCATTTTTCAATAGCAAAATAATTATGGGAATTGCAAAGCTCAATACAAAGAATTACAGTCCTGCTGAAAAAAAACCAGCAGCCTGATTTTTACATCTTGAGCTGAAATGAAATGTCTGTAAGTTCAGTGAGGAGAGCTTGACCAAAAGCCTCTCTGCTTTGTCCTTGGTATGTCCTCAGCACTGGTGCCTTGAAGGCCCAACACCCAACATAGTTTCTGTCAAAGGAGATGTAGGCCATTCTGATTTTATGTAGACACAACAGAGACACATCTCACTGTCCTTGTTCCACAATGCTCATATTCCTACCAGACATCATGTTCCAAGATCTGTCTCACACATGAAAACAGACCCATACAGTTCACCATGACCTGCAAACAGATGAAAGAATAAATGTAATTTAAAGGTATTGTTGGAGTTCATGTTTTTATCTCCTAATACTTTTGCATCATTTGGTTGTCCTTGGGGCGTCATTTTGTAGACCCTTTCTTATCACTTGTTCCCTGATTCCTTAGGAGAGGAGAACATGTAATTCAAGAGGAAAATGCCTAAACACATTTTAGAAAAGAAACAAAGATAGGCAATCCTCCTCACTCTCTTTGCATTCCTGTTTCACATGGGCTCCCTGCAAACTATTTAATTATTTTGCTAGTGATCTTTGGCAGAGGAGAAGTGCTCTCAAAGGGAGGAATTTGCATAAATGTCAATTAGCTGACAGTCCCCAAGACCTGTCTGGTTTGCTCTTTCAGTTAAAGATAACAGTTCTGTCACGGCTTCCCCATATTTGTTTTCCTCAATTTGTAAGCGTTGAACCGGAGGCATGTGCAGAGAAACTGGATAGTGTAGTTCAGTATGACTTACCTAAACTGGAGAAGAGTTACTCTGTAAGATTTCTTTTCTCACACAATCCCTTTGAAATTATAATTTTGAAAAACAATGACTTGCTTGTTCAGTACTCAGCTGCATTTACCTAGCTGGATTTTTTCCCTTCAGTGTTCCTAAGGAAATTATGATGATTTAGTTTGTCCCATCTCATTTGACTGATGAGAGTAGGAATTCCTAATACTCCTCCTCTCTTACTTCTTCTTTCCTTCCTCCCCAGAGGGAAAGCTGTATTCTGCCACAGTGACCGACTTCCTTGCAATAGATGCAGTCATATACCGGAGCCTTGGAGACAGCCCAACTCTGCGGACAGTTAAACATGACTCAAAGTGGTTGAAAGGTAGATAAACCATATATATATATATATTAAGAGATGGAGTGCTAAGTGAGTCTCAGAATTCAGTAAAATCTGGTTCTACAGCAAAGTGGACTTGCAAAATACATTGAAAAAAAAAAAAAAAAAAAAGAGAAAGCAGCTCAGATGAGAGTCTTGGATTCCTGACAGACCTCTCTGTCATTTCATTTAACCAATGCTTTCTGGCAGAAAGAAGGAACTAAATTACATCTTTTCTTTACACTGATCTGTTTATCTCTTTCCTTCTTTTCCTGATCCCAAGTTACTAGACCTGACAAAAACTGTGAGCTTAATAGATCAGAATATATATTCCAGCAAGCTTTCCAACCTGAAAGCCATCCTTTTACAGATGTTGGATGTAAATGTTGGAACTAGCAGGGCTCAGTGAACTTGGGCTCTGTTTGAAAATAGTCCTGCCCTAGGACTGTAGGTAATAGTCAAAGCTTCATGAAGTGTTGAAGGTTTGTCCCGTAACATTAAGATTCATCAATGAGAAAAAAATAAAAAATCTGGATATTACACAAAGCCTTTCTTTTATGGTTCTTAGGGACTGTACAGCTGCCATTGAATTAGGCAATTTCTGTGCTCTAAATGCCCTCATTGTTAAGAATGGTGCTGTTTAGCTTCACGTAGGCGTTATGAATAGTTAGCATTTGGAGTGATTTTAAAATTGAGCAAAGCTGTGGTTTGAAGTCTTTTTCTGCATGCAGAAATGTTTTGCCAGGTGTCAACTTTAGCTGTCCCACTTTGCTTGCTTCTATAGACACGTGTGGGCAGAAATAGTTACATCGTTTGTTATTCCCTCCACACACAGCCTGCATGCTATAAAGAGCACTGCTTGGACCCTTCAGGCATACCGTTATATATTGCCTCTTTACCTTTCCTTGTACACCACTCAGGGCAGACATTTTAGTGGCAAGCACTTTACTACCTTGCATTCGTGTTGCACAGACTTTCTCCCGGCTGTGCTGACCTCAGACAGTGATTCTTCTGTTGTGGTGATTTTGCTAGTTCTGAAAACTGAGCAAGTTTGCTTAGTGCAGGCATTTCACCTTTAGATGAGAATATATTTATATGGCTTCTCTCTTCATGCTGTATGCAGTACATTGGTGCCTAAATAAGATGGTTTTGTTTTTTTTCTAGAGCCATACTTTGTCCAGGCAGTGGACTATGGCAATTATATTTACTTCTTCTTCCGGGAAATAGCAGTGGAGTACAACAGCATGGGAAAGGTAAGGGCAAAAACATTGCCTTGAGTGACTTTGTCAGAATCAGGAGGAGGAAAACACATTCTATTCTTGTACCAGTGCTGTTAGGTGTGACCTTGAAATGAGAACCATAAATCATGATGACAAGGTCATAATTTTGAGAAGATTCTTATCCCTGAAGCCAAAAGGTTGATTGGAGTGAAACATTGCACTGTCTTGAAAGGAAACAGGATGGTTTCTTACAGTGATGGCATATGCTGGAATCTCTTTTCTCAAATCATACAAATCACAAGAAACATGTAGATAGTTCAGGGTATTAGGTAATTGTGAAAAAAGTATTCCAAAGCAGGAGATATTTTTCTCTGAGAAATCCAAATTGGAGTGCTGAGTAAACAGGGGCATTAATTTTGTGCTTTGCCATTCTGCAAAGAATAATTAAACACTCTGCATTTTTTCTAATTTTACAATAACTTTCTGACTAAGCAGTCAGAAAAGCTGACCAAGGTTACAAAGGTGGGGGGCAGGAATAAAAGCACAGGAAGATTTGGATAGTTGTTAATTGCTGAAAACACAAGAGTCACAGCAGGCAGTGTTGGTTGCAGGGATTGTACTAGAAATGTGTTTTTGTTTGGGGAAACAGAAAGCTAAGCAGTCTGTATGGAAATGAGTTTTATATGGGTTGAGAACAGATCCCCTGAAGGATTTATGACTGTATAGTAAATTCCACAGCCTTATCTTTTATAGAACACTGTTCTAAAGCTGATTTTTTCTCTGTTTCTTATTTGTCCCAGATTATGTCAACATGGGATTAAATTAAGCACCTTGCAATGTTATTCCAAATGTTTTGAAAGCAGAATTCCAATGAAGTCTTTTAGTTCAAATATTTAATTTTCTTCATTGTATTTGCTATACTCCTTCCAGGTAGTTTTCCCAAGGGTGGCTCAGGTTTGCAAAAATGACATGGGAGGATCTCAGAGAGTGCTGGAAAAACAGTGGACTTCCTTTCTCAAGGCTCGTTTGAACTGCTCGGTTCCTGGCGATTCACACTTCTACTTTAACATACTGCAGGCGGTTACAGATGTTATCCATTTCAATGGCCGGGATGTTGTTTTAGCAACTTTCTCCACTCCCTATAATAGGTAATAGGAGCAATAACCTTTTACCTTCTGTTTCCTTTATGTTTTGCTTTTCACTGCAGTTTTTAATTTATGAAGGTACAAGAAGTGATTGCTCATAGAATGTAATTATTATGTACCACATGCTTATTGTTTGTGTTTCATTTTAAGATACCCTGGTATTGCTTACTGTATTTTATTTCTGGTAATTTAGAGCAGCTTTCAGCCTTTTGCTACCTGGACACATTCCTTGGATATATTTTTTTCCTTACCTGAGGATAATTCAGACTGGTCACCAAGAAGTTTTGCCGTGTGTAACCTGCAAAATGTTATTTCAAAGAGAACATATGATTTTTAATATTTTTTTTTCTCAAAGAGAAAAGAGTGGGTCTGTCTCTTTACATGTAAACTGCCAAGACCAACATTAGTACCCCTTCCCTCTTATTTCATACATTCCTACTCTTGCATTTTCTTCTGGGAGAGCCAAGAAACTACACTGTCCTACTGGTCCCCAGAACACCTGTATTTCATTGTTCATATGGTTTTTCAAAAGCATCGGATCATCTGCAAAGAATTTATTACCATTACACATGATAACATTTCTCCAGAAGTTATTAGAAGACTAACTGTATCTAACTATTGATGTCTCCCAGAGAAGTTAAAAAAAATAGCAGCAATCTAATTTAAAAATATATTGCTGTTTCACAGAGTAATGCTTGAGCTGAAAGGGGAACTTTATTGCTGAAATTCATCTGGTTTTGCTGTACACTTGTCAAAGCCTGACCTCAGTGAGGTCGTGCACAGAACTGACTTAAAATGAGAGTAAGCCCAGGCCTGTAATGTAGAATAGCTGCTTTTGACATCAAAATGATAGGAACTGCAATAGAATAATTATGCCAGCAATAAGGAATGCAGCTTCCATTAAGATGATTGCTTTTTATGTGAACTGGCTTAATAAAAACAAGTGAACAAACAGAGATTCAGCATCAGAAAATAGGTTGTATCTTGAGATTATCTCAAAATTGAGATTCCTTTTGCTCTGCTACTATTTCCTGTGGTTTATCATGAATAATACTTTTCCTTAAATTCTGCATTTTAAAATCTAGGAGCTTATGTTAAAATCAAGGTACTGTTTCATAGGCTCCATTTTTTGTCAGATGGTGAAGATGACAAGAAGGTGTGTAGGCTTGGAGACACCTCTAATTAAAAGACCTACCTCTGACATGGAAACATCTTTCTCATTCCTCCCCCACTGAGAAAAAGCTGCAACAAACATAACCTGAGGTGACCCAGGGCAGGAGCTGGTGAAGGATTGTAGTCCAGTGGTTGGGAGATGACTTGGTTGTGACCCACAGTATTCCATCTGTATGGCTTTATCACAGTGTGGACCCACAAATTGTCATCCTCTAGACTAAAAGCTATTGCAGTGTTCTCACCACACTGATCCCTCCATCACTGTGGAATTGTGTGTTGAGTTGTTAGTGCTTTAGTTCTCTATCATACACCTCAAGATATTAGAATTCTTTTTTCTTTAGGGCTTGATTCAGCAAAGTGCAAAATCATCTAGCTATAGTGGGTCTTGAGATATCCTTCAGAATTAGGTCCTTTATGTGGCCAAATACACCCTTGACCAGCTCTTACATCGACATACATTTGGCTGCATTCATTTAAAATTCTTACTGTGTAGTATCGCATTAATATAGAGCTTTGACGTTTCTTTCCATATAAAGGCACAATCCACAGAGATCAAAGTAAGGCTAATACTGTCTCCCTACTTGGTTCCTTCAGTAACAAGCATTTAAGAACCTTTTATTACTGAAACAGTTATTTTCCATTCAATTTATATACCTTTATGAGTTTAGCTTTATTCTCTGTAACAATATTATAATTCCTACATTTATTTTTCTTTGGTGTATAATAACCTACTAGCTAAAAGCAGAACAGAAAGTCTCAGTTAGCTGGGTTCATTCTTCTTACCTGGTAAAATCAAGAGGTGAGAGTCAGGCACAAATACAGTAATTCATGTGTAAAAAAATAAAAGGTAGATTCATGCTTCGAAGTGACTACCCATGAGAAACCCCTAAGCCTTTCAGAAAGTATGTAGATAAAGATACAATTATGTTTAGGCAATGCTGTCCTGCAGTTGCATGCAAATAATAAAAAAACTTGACATTTACAACTTAGTGATCTAAAAATAACATTGAATTTGCTTCTGTGAGCTCTTTACACCTCATTGAATTAAGCAAATTCCTGAGCATAGTTAACTCCTTTCCACTGGGAAAAATTGGTGGAAATCAAGCTGTAGGAGGATGAAGTAATAACATGTAAATGCCGGTTCAATGGCACATTGCAGCATGCTCCCAGTTGGAGCAGCACCAGCTTCTGAACTACCTGCAGTGTATTTTTGAGGCATGACAGGAACTGTAAGAATTAATACTGAAGAGGTTGTGACTTACAAGAACTTGAATTTCCAAGTAATAAGCTCTGAATAAGACTGGTTATTACTCCTCATGCATCTCTAGTGGTACACAGAGTTTCCCAGATTCTCTTCCTTCTCAAGATTATTGCAATTACTTCTTTCTATAGAGGCTTTCAAACAAATCGTGCTTGCAGGGGCTGTCTGCTGATTGGTGTATTTCAAGCTTTTCCATGGGCCTGGCTTTTCCTGTCAATACTCAGAGGTTACAGAGTTCAAGATTGAGTAGCCTGCGACAGGAAGATTTCTATACAGCATGTTTTTCACTCAAGATTTTATGCATAACTGCAGAATGAGTAATAATTTCTGGGAAATGTCACTTTACAGCATCCCTGGCTCTGCAGTCTGTGCCTATGACATGCTTGACATTGCCAATGTATTTACTGGGAGATTCAAAGAACAAAAGTCTCCAGATTCCACATGGACACCGGTTCCTGACGAACGAGTGCCCAAGCCCAGGTATGTTTCATGTATAGTGATAATGTTGCACTCCTGCACACAGCACAGGGGTTTTTTCACAATTTGAACAGCCTTACAAGGTTTAGATACAATTGAAAATACATGTTGTAACAGCAGAATAGAAGCTGAGTTGCATTTGGATCTAAGGTATGTGAGTGAAAATGTTTCCGCTTAAACAAGATTTGTGTAACATAAATCAGGCCAGCATCAGATCTACTTGAAATAACCTATCAGTGAAGACTGGTGTGAGTTACACACCTGTAGAAAATTGGTTCGATAATGGGTATATCTCATTACAAAGCCTGCACTGGTTCTGTAGTTTGCTGTTCTGCAGTTAACATGCAGTTTATATGCCACAGAGGATGCATCATGGGAAAAAAGAAAAAGCAGCATTCCATCAAAATGGAGATTCAGTTTACATCATTCCACCTATATTTGTTTTCCCTGCTACCACTTCCCTCTTTGTTTGCATGTGGCTCCTCTATTACATACTCTTTATGTTTCTTACAAGCATCCATTTTGTACAAGCTGCTGTTGACAGCCACTTGTTAACTCATTTACACCAATGGCATTTTGCTCTGAGAATTATGATATTAATATAGATAAAGCAAGTTAATTTATCTCAGTGAAGTTTTACCACTTTAGGATATATTTTCCATTACCAGTGATATCTTGCATAACTTCAAAATAAAAACGCATCCAAAGCTCTGTAGTGGCTTTAATCTGAGCTTGTCAGTTAAGGGAAGAACCTGGAGATGACTGGAAAATCTGATAAATTCTCTGTCTGTTTTTGGTTTGAGCCTTAAAAAGGCATCTGCTAGCACTGCTACTGGATTTTCTTCTCCTTTTTGCAGTGCTTCCACAACTCATGGACATGATGGGCTGCCTTGGTAGTGCAAGGCTGGACAATACCTCCAAGTTTGTTTGGAGCTTTCTCAGATAAAGAGTACTGCCAGGGAAGGGTTTTGCTTCTCCTTCAGTAGGCAGGAAAAAGAGAAAATTGCATTGTGAGTTTGTGAGATGAGCCAGTAGGAGGCTAGCAGTTGTGATGAAGGTGATAGCTCTCTCTCTAAGCCGGTAGGAATTAACATGAACTGGATTGGTGAACACTCTT